CATATTCATTGCAGAAAAAGTACTAAATGGATAAGAGGCGCTATTTAGCACGTTTTAAAGACCAAATCCTTTTAGCACGCTGTTGATAGATCAGTTTGTACATTTTTTAGCGTGCGCAGTGAAATAGCTCACGTTTTTATACACGCAAACATTTGATAGATCCGGCCCATAGTGTTAACAATAGCTTTCATCAGGAAGTGCAGTAACTCTAATTATTTCTGCCAGTTTCCTAAAATGAAAAGTAGTTCAGTACCAAAAGTACCAGTAGTTTTTTTTTGTATTGTTTGTTCATTTTGTTTTTTTATTACTTTAAACAGCCTATTGTGACCAGCCAGCTTGGCACCGTTAACAACATCATCCAGGTGAAGAAAACAGACTTTGAGGTTTTCGATGCTCTGATGGTGGATTCACAGAAATCTTCTGATGTTTCAGGTGAGCGCAAACAACGGATAACAAACATTCACTATAGTAGATTGAAGTCTGAAAGCACGACTCCAACACCACGCAAACAAGTCTTGTTTTTGGCCTATTTCTTCATTAATTATTTGATCCGGCACTTCAATAACAGTCAAGAAGTTAAACTTGGGTAGAATAAAAAGAAGAAAAGAAACAGACTGCTTTACACGAGATATTTTAAGAACTCAAATCAGACTTTTTGTTTTTAAAATCCATAATTAAAACAAGAAAAATCCATCTTCTATTTTGAGAAGACTTATTATGGAGTAACTGTTTAATAATAAATTATTTCGTAAAAACTATAAGTGTAGGAAAATTTAACTTTAGTATTCATGTATTCCTTTCTCATGAGGGAGTACTTTTGAGAACAGCCTTTACTGCGTTTACAGCTGAGGTTATTTTGGTGTGTATCACTACCAGCTTTGCACGTCTAGATAATTATTTGATTATTCCCATGTGGAATAAAAAAAAGTGAAGCTCAGTCAAAATGGTTGATTATTTATTTATACATAAAATTCCAACCTTGGCTGAATTCTTTGAACTTGTGCTTAAAATTTCCTCTGATCACACATTTAAGGCTGCTTTCTCTGCCTGCACGCTGGAAGAGTTCTGGTTGTCAGTAGCAACAGAGTACACGGCACTGTCAAGATCTGCAACTGATAGTCTGTTTCCATTTGCATCCAGGTATCTGTGCCAAAACACATTTTTTGTGCTGACGTACATGAAAAACAAAAACAGAACACAACTCCTCAGAGCTGAGATTGATCTCCGTGTGGCCGTGTCTAACATAAAGCCAAGAATACAGCTGCTTTGTTCAAACAAGCAGGGCCAGCTGTCACATTAAATGGTTGCGAAAGAAAAAAAAAACCTTTCTGCTTTTGACCAGGAAGTGTTTTTTTCTTTTTTAAGCTCTCAGAAACATACATCTTTGAAATTAAACATGGGCTGTTTTCTGCTGTGTTTTGTAGCACATGCTGTTATCGTATAAAGAAATAAAAATATGCGTTATTTGTTTTCATTTTAACAGCAAACTGATAGGTCTGTTCGGACAGTTTGCCTCCTGATGCTGCGTCATTTTTTCTTTGGAAAATACCACTTTTGTTTCAAAATAAAATGATACATAGCTGAAGTGAGTTGGGGTTTGGTCGTGGTCAGGAGTGCATGTTAAATTTGGGGTTGTGACTCAAAATTAGTCAACTCTGAAACCAGCAGTTGTTGGTAGGATTTTAACCAAAGATGGACCTGCTTGTGTGATTCATATCATTGGTCTCCTGGATAAACAAGGTGCTCTTGAGCTTAAGGTTACAAACTGACCACTAATTATAGTTGGCTTTTACTCCTGGGTAGGTTCACCCTGTTCCATGTTTTCCCCGTGGCTTTCGGTAGTCCTATGAGCTTTAAAATGTCTGTAGAACCAAAATGACTGTTGCTCATTTGTTCTGGAATTAGTCTAAACTTAAGCATAGTTTTTAAGATTTTTTTTTATTCATATCATCAAGATAGTTCTTTTTAAGGGTTTCCGTGGTTCTGTAGGTCAGGCATTGAAGTTTCTTGTTTTAATTAGACACAATTCTTAAAGTTTTAAGGACGATGGACACTTTTTAAAGACACTTTTTTTGCTTTAAAGGTTAATCAAACTTATAAAGAGGAAAAGTTCAGATCTTTCAGGTTTTCTATCTGTCTAATAAACCCTTTCTTCCTTTATTAGACCTGTCCAGCTCTCCCCCTGGTCCATATCATCAGGACTCTTATGTTCCTAAACAGGATGAAAAATTTAAGTCTCCGCCGATACTCCCCCCTCACCTCCTCCAAGTCATCCTCAACAAAGACACCGGAATATCTGTGAGTGGACGAGAATTATTTTGGGCTGCGTTTCATTTTTATTCCTATTATAGATTTTACTGTAACAGTGAGATTTCTTTCTTTTATCTTTCTTTTTTTTGGTAAAAGATGCATTTTGCATTATTCATGCTATTTTGACAAAGTGCATCTAAAATAAATCTGCTTCACTGCTTTCAGTTATTTTTTTATTCTTTCTCTTATCTTCAGTGTGACCCTGCATTACTTCCAGAGCCAAATCATGTTATGCTCAATCATCTTTATGCTCTTTCAATTAAGGTAAGGTTTGTACTTGCTTGAACTGCATAAAATAATTCTCTATGTTTGATTTGTATTGTAAAATTCCCCAAGGCAGCTAAGGGAAGCAACAGAAAGAGAGGTGACGTTTTCGTCCTTTAATAAAAAAAAAAAAAAAACTGATTTCATGCTGGAGGAATGCATTTATTATATTTATAAATAATTATAAAAAGCGTCTGGCATCCAAAAGGGAAAAACTCTGAAGGGATCCACAAAAATAACAGCTAACCTATTTTCCAGTTCAGTCACAAACTAGACCAGAAATGCCCAAACTAGATTTGCCGTAGCTTAAACAAAACACGTCTATCCAGGAATTAATCTTGACAAAGCAGTAGGGAGAATAAACGACCAGCTGGTAATGAACCAATTCCACTCCCAGCTTTATTCTCGCTCATTAGAGGCAAAGTGGAATCAGCCTTACACTGTTTGCTGCAGAAATCCCACAGCAGCAGAATGACTCGGGGGGAGGAGAACCCACTCCTACTTCTGACATGTATACTCACCTGATGTGGGAAACCTTTGTGAGAAATGACCAGATTTTATGAGGTTTTCCCAGAAAGTGTAAACTGCTACTATGTATAGCGGCATATGCACACTGTCTGCAGAGCGGATCGTTCTGTATCTGTGGAATGCCAGAAGCGATAAGAAGCTGGCATAAGGAGAGCAGGCTGAAGGACAGATAATTACCCTTGTTGCAACACTCCAAGTGGAAAAACAACCAGAATGTGTTTGCCAATACATACATAGAGACAGCAGTCAGAGACTTAATGCAAAAAAAGAACAAACAAGCAGAAGTCTCATGGTAGATGTTAAACAAGAGTATCCGTTAAAACTAGAGTTTTGTTAATAAGCTTTTGGCCGTATAAAAAAATGGCCTGAAATGTTTAGAGTTTTGTTTGGTTTAATTTATTTCATAATGGATTAGCTTTTCCTATATTTGTGGCATTAAAGCCACATATCTATATGCATTATGCTGCTTTTGAGTAATGAACCAAAGCAAAGTTGTGAATAATTGTGAAGGGAAATGTAAGCAAACAAATAAACCAGATGCATTAGTGATAAAGTTGTGGGGAAATTTAAAAATTCAGAGAGAAATTTCTCAATCAAAAGCAACTTAAAGAGCGTTTCTAAAATTAACACTCTGCACCGGGCTCGTTCTGGGTGCCAAAGCATCTGGTGTTAATATGCAAAGTCTATGCAGGGTCCAGTGTTGCGTCTGAGTTTCAGGGGCAGTGCACCCAAGCGTTCTGGGGTCCATTCGTCTGAACTTTTGCTGCTTAACGCCGGAGCGTCAACCAATCAGGAAAGATGATTTAGGAGTTTGTTTGTTTTTTCGGGGGAAAAAGCTGTCATCACTTCTGCAGACATTCTGCATATGAAAAATAAATAAATGTAAGGAAGTTAAACTCCAAAGGTTAAAAAAAAGAATGGATTGTTATGTAGAAGCAACAGATAGTGAGCTCTGATCATTATTGTTGCACTAAAATATTTTTTTATGAATTATGGCGAAAATGTTTATAAAAACCAGATTAACAAAAAACTATTAAAACCTCTAAACAAAAAAATATCTGATTGTATATTCTTGTACTTGCAGTTTTTACCACAAACCTTAAAAACTCTTTCTATCCACTTTCATCTGCTATTAACAGCAGCACAAAGTCCCCCACAGGCTGCGGGTAGCAGAGAGCTGCCAGCAGGGATTTCCAGAAGAACTGGATATTTTAGTGGGATCATAATCCTGATAAACTGACAGCGCAGATGATGTTTGAACTTTCTCCCTTAAAAACGTGTTAAAACTACTTTTCCAACTCATAAAGTAAATAAAGCTAGGCTGTTCTCTAGCTTGAAGCTACAAAAGAGAGAAGATAAACAACCAGAGCGTTGAAGCATCAAAGCAACTTGATCCAGCATTTTTGACGCCCCTAACGCCTTCGGTACGAACACAGTATAAGGTTCCACTGTAAACTTAAAAGGACATGGCTATCTTATGAACAGATAAATTCAACATTCTTAAGAGAGATCAACAGGTGCATTGTAGCCTTGAAGGACCTGCAGAGATCTCCAGCTCAGGTGTGAAAATCAAAGGACAGGAAGACTCCCAGCTCTTTATGAAATGCCATTAAAGGTGAAAGTCCAGATGGGTAGCTGGTGTTTGCAGTGTGGGATACGCACTATAGTCAAGAGAGAAAACAAAAGGAAACTGTGCAGAATTTACATATGCAAGAGAAATGATTTATATGATTTTCATAAATGAAAATTAAAACACCCAGAATGCATTTATATTCATCCCCAATCACTAAGATACGCCTGAATAAAATGCAGAGATACTCACTATTGCAAATTGAAAATATGTTGCAAGACTAGAAATTTGATGTTCACAGCCACTGACTTAAATTTAGATATTTTGTACATTATAGTAGAATGGGAGAACGTTTAGTGTCTAAATTATCAAACCTTATAGAGACGTACGCCGAAGCACTTGAAGTCATACTGAAAGCTAAAGATGGTTCTACAAAGTATTGACAGAAAATATTTTCACAACCTGGCAGAAACAGTCTTCTTGGATGAATAACCATTGGTCAAGAGTTGTAAGCATATGCCCAAGTTGTGAAAGGATCACACCAGGTGTATGCTCTTAACCAGTTTTTTGGGGGGAAGTAGCTGCCTATTGGTTAGGACATAGAGGTTGGAATCCTGAGTTTCCTGGTTCAAGCCCCACTCCCACAGACTGCCACTCTGGTCCATGAGCGAAAAGACCCTTAACCCCACACTGCTCCCCAAAGGGTTGGGTTAAATGCAGAGGGTTCATGTTGTTGTTCAGTACTTGTGACAGTGTAATGACAGTAAAAGCTGAAAAATAAAACATTTCCTTCATTAACAATGCAGTATCACACCAATGTCTCATAACATTTTAGTAAAATTCACTGATATTAGTCATCATAACATGACATAATTTTAGGAAGTTCAGGGGTAAAAAATCTTTCATACTCCTGAGGAACTGGTTGATTAGAACTGTTTTCATTGCATTGTACTGGAAATGCAATGCTTTAACAGATCTTTCCTATTTGTTGTCTTTATTTTGTCACAGGATGGGGTGATGGTCCTGAGTGCGACACATCGCTATAAGAAGAAGTATGTCACTACTTTATTGTATAAACCCATCTGATGGACTCCTGTTCCCCTCAGCAGTGTGTGTGCTAACTGTACACCAAGTGTGCAAGATATTTCTTCCAAGCTTTTCTTTTTCTTCCATGGAATATGAAATTAGACAAAACTTGTCTTATACCCAGTGCTGTTGTTACCTTTTTACTCTAAGTTGAGTTGAGATGAAGGAAGGACTTAGAAATATTTGATTTTTATAAAATGTAAACATAATCACTCCCACAAATGTTAATGCTTTTCAGTTAGAAAGATAAAATAGTATGAATAATGATATTTTATATAAATATGCTTTGAGAGGTCATATTATTTATGACATCTTCTTATGCTTTATCGATTTCTGAGATTAGCAACGCTATATTCTGTTATAGCTGAACTTGTTACAGAGGTGCTTTAAAATGTATATGAAATCAGTTCAACATAAATTATTAAAGCACAACCTCTTTTTTTTTGCTTTCAAAGAGTTTTAAATCCTGAGGCTAGCATTTAATCAAAAGGAGAAATCGATGTGTCAGTGTTTTCAATCTATGGGAAGACAGACAGGTACAGATTGGCATAATGAAGGAACATCAAAGTCTTCACAAGCAGCAAAGTAGATTACTTAGAACCTTAGACTGAGAGTTGTTCAATCTTAGGCTAAAGCCTCTGATCTGTTTTTTTTTTTGTATCACTTCTATACTCCACTGACTTAAGAATTGTGAGCGATCGGCCATTTCTACTGACTTGGATCCAGCCCCCTCAAAAGTAAGAATCCAATACCTTCGGAAAGAAGCCATGCGTAGGTTGAATGCTCAAAGCAACACAGTGAGCAATACTGCGAAGGTTGCACAAAGTAAACCCACTATTCTCCAAAGAGATTATTGCTTGTTTGTGCTGTTTGTTAAAATTTGCATTGACACATAAAACATAAAACCGTATAGTTTAAAGACAATATTCCCTCTGCTTGAGAAGAGAAAGGAAAGAAAAACCAAAGCAGATGATTAATCGACAAACTGAGAAAAATGATGAAGAAACCCATCTTTCCATTTTGTTTAATATGGCTCATCAAGCTTTATAAAACAATAAATGCTGAAACACCTAAAAAGGAATCAACAAACACATTTAGCTTTTATCCAAGCACCTCTTTTTCTTACCAAAAAATATTATTTTTAAATATGGTAAATGAAAACTCAATGTAAAAGGCTAATTACATTATTAAAAAAAACAATGGCTGATTTTCTAGCTTCATTGGGTACAAACACTCTTGTAGTGTTTTGAACCTTATATATCTAGTCATAAAAGCATCTACCTATGATAATAAATGTACCACATATTGAGTTCCTCTTTCTCAAGCCTTTATTTGTACTTTGATTTATGGGAGTATGTTGCTTTTGAGGATAGGAATGCAATAAGAATTTGGTTGAACACTGAATTGTTTTTTTTTTTTTTATCAAAACAAATAACGAAATTAAATCATGCTGATAGAAATATCTATAAATTAGGTTACTGTTTTCTTTCCCATGGTTGAGAAGACAAAAGTCACCAATCAAGAATATTAACCCTTTTTCGTTATAGACTGAAAATATGCACTGAGGTACAGTGTGCTCTTCTGCTGTTTATTTTGATTGTGAAATGTAACATAAATAAGAGAGTTAATATATTTTATAGAGTATTTAGAGCTTATCTTTTATTTAAATCCTAGTTGGTGTCATTGATTTTATTGATCCAGAATATTTATATTATGTTGATTGCCTTGATTGGTAAAAACCATTCCACTTGATTTGATGTTGGATATTTGCACTGATAACATGACAATGTATCACATTTTAACTTCTGCATGATGAAGAGATTAAATGAGATAATATAAAAATTTTGAAATGTCTTTTGTTAAGAGTAATAAATATTTCCTATTTAAAGTTTACTATCCAGTATCCAGTTTATTAGCGATCAGATAAATATTTCCTTTTATAGTATATCAGACAACTGATTATTCAGATTAGTAAGTAAGTAATCATGTAAATAGCTAATAATAGCTAAACTATGTGGCTGCAATGTTGAAGAAGTCGTACAATAGGATGTCATAATCAAACCTTTTTATTCTATTGGCTGAAAGATTGAGAAGTTGGGGTTAAGAGCAGAAAAAATATATAAATGGAGTTAGTGCCCTGGAGAATTCATTGTCAGATTGTTCCACCGTAAGAGCTAAATTCAAGAACGCACACATACTGGCTTAAACATGTATATCAATGTACTCTTTATGAGACGATTTTGTCCCAAAAGTTAGAAAATTTCTACTTCGAAAAAAGATCCTGCCTTGATAATCTGTGTATTATTTCCTTATCTTATGCAGGCCAGTTTGTTATATGTCAGCTTGTACACCTAAATTTGGCCAATCATATATCGATCAATCAAATTTTTTCTGGTCATAGCATCTTGATTCATGTGTTGCAGCTAATATACACAACAGTTGAAACAAGAATAATTTACCCTTGACTTACGTCCCAGTGTTCACGGGAATGGGCATCTGTGTCTTCTACAGGCGTAGAGCTAACGGAACTGGCAGCGTTGCAAGGCAAGGGCTCAAACATGTACAGCCTTCTAAACCAAACAAAGTTTCTGCCACCCTGGCGTCCTCTTCCGCAACAACTTTGTCCCCGATTTCCTACTCTAAATAAAAAATGTATGACGGGGGAGACTCATCCACGACCTCTGGCACAAAAAATGTCCTCCTCTTGCATGTTTCCGCTGTCCATAGCGTTCCTTGACAGTGTCGTTAAGTACTACTTGGTTCCAATGGAATTTCCCATTGGGAACCTACTAGCACTAAGTTGCTAACTGGTTAGCAAGATGCTTCCGACAAACCGGCCACAACCAAACATGCTTGCGAGACTTCCGCCACAACAATCCCGCCCCCTTGATAAACATTCACTTTATGCACTCGTGTAATGTTGGGCATCACTCGGCAGAATTCGGAAATACGTACGTACGACGTACGCCATGACTTTAAAACTGCAGTGTGTGACATGTAATGGTCAGACTGCATGAACTGCTCTCCCTCCAAAGCTTCTCCACCTCCAGGCCATTGTGATTAAAAAACTGGCTCCCACAACGTCCACATAACCTTTTTTGCCAAGTGATTACCAAGTTTGTTTATATAGATACAGTAATAAATCTCATTTCATTAGTCTGTGTAGGATATAGATCTTATAAAGGCCTAAGATAGCAAATATACCCGCTATTTGTGCCACATTGTTGTCATGTTTTAGTGAGCTACTTGGCATAGCCCTTTAAACAGACTAAGTTATTTTAGTTGCTTAGTATAATTGTGAGATTGCATTGGTTTGAAGCATACTTATACCCCTTTTATGGAGTCTAAATCTTGAGTGTGACATGGGGATGTGGTGGGCGGTGGTGGTGTGCAACCAGGGCAAGACGAGGAAGAGGTGCCTGCTTGAAGACGAGCCAATGAGGCAAGATCTGAAGCTGTTCAAAGGAGCCGGAGAGGATTAACAGGAGTATATATCCAAAAAATATTTTGGTGTCTACTATCTACTGTGTGATAGAAATAATCCTAATTCAACATGTTTTATTTACAGCTCTGAGCACTACATGTAGTCAAGATACTGTTGTTAGTATTTTATGGGGTAATAATTACCTGTGAAACATCAAAGAATAAGAATAAAATCTGGCGATTAACAGCATTTTTTGCGTGTTGCTGCCATCTGTTGTTCACTACAGTCTCAGTTCAACCCTTTACACTTTTCTCAGTCACATTCAAGCCTAATGACGATCTCTCATAGAACATTGTATCAAATTTACCCCACATTGTTAAAATGTTGATTTTGACTGCAAGTAATAAACAGTTTGGTGTGGTCTAGTCATAGTTTGAATTTGAATTTAGTGTTTAATCTTTTGAGGGTAATAAGAATTAGGGTGATATCAAGGAGGCCTTCCTGAAACAAAGTCTTCATTGTAAAAGAGGAGGAGTCAGAAACAGCCTTGGCTATGCCAAAACCTTATATGAACTACAAAATGCAAATAATTGCTGTATCAAATCATCAGCTTTTTATATAGAGAGCCAAATCACAACACATATCATCTCAAGGCATTTACAGCATCAATTCAATCAATCATACAAACAGAAACCCTGCAGATTTCATCAAGTCATTGATATAGCTTTCGTTTGACAACGTTACATTTTTCATGTAAATAAAAAAATTAATGGGTAATAGCACTGCTGCCTTGCAGCAACGGGGTTCCGGGTTCAATTGCTGACCCGGGGTCTTTCTGCATGGAGTTTGCATGTTTTCCCTGCACATGCGTGGGTTCTCTCTGGGTACCCCGGCTTCCTTTCACAGTCCAAAAATAAACAAAACATGACTGTTAGGTAAATTGGCTGCTCTAAATTCTCCTTAGGTGTGACTGTGTGTGAATGGTTGTTTGTCCTGTTTGTCTCTATGTTGTCCTGCAATGGTCTGGCGACCTGTAATTCTGGTTTTAAGGTATTTTTCCTCAATAAGCTTTCCAGTTAACACTGAAACTCTTTTAAACTAGAAGAATTAGGCATGACATGTAATAAAATGTTGGTCCAAACTGAGGCTTAGTGTCTAAGCCCACTCTGTGAGAATCCATTTAAACCATGACACATGCTAGTTTTGTGTTGGGTGTCAGAGTGCGTGTGATCCTTTGGTGTATGGACAGCTGACATCCAAGGACCCACACATACAGGATCTACATAAAAGGCAGTTTAACGTTGAGTGAAAGTCACTCTGGCACCGAACCCTCTCACTCACAGGATGAATGCTTTTCAGACTGTCTTCCTCTTGGTTCTTGGTCTCTCTGTAGGTGAGTAAAACCTTCCACATATTGTGACACTGCTTAAATATATCTAGTCGATTTGTAAATATGCAATACAAAACTTTCTCTGCAATAGCTCTTTAGAGCCTTGTGTGACTCATTGTTGAACCACCTTTTTTTCTTTTCTGTGATCACAGTCACAGCAAGTCCTGAAAATGATTTATTTCTATCTTGTCAGAGTCATTATAACAGAAAAAAAACTTTGTTCAAGACAATTTTACTGTATCTCTGCTGGTATGTGAAGTGTTTATTTAAGAGTGGGGCACACAGTGGAGTTGTGGATAAGCATGTTGCCTTGCAGCAATAAGGTTCTTGGTTTGATTCCTTGTCTTTCTGCCTGGAGTTTGCATGTTCTCTCCGGGTACTCCGGCTTCCTGCCACTGTTCAAAAACATAACTGTTGGGTTAATTGGCTTCTGTATATTGATATTATGTGTGTGGATGCATGGTTGTTTGTCTTTGTGTGTTTCCATGTTACCCTGTAATAGACTGCAGAGCTGTCCAAGGTGTACCACACCTCTCGCTTATAGACTGCCGAAGATAAGGATGACCCTGACGAGGACTAAGCGAGAGAAGATGGATGGATGGATGAATGGATGGTTTAAGAGCTAAATGTGTTTTGCTGCCTTCTACCCCTTTTCTTTTAGAATTGCCCTGTATTTAGCCCAGTTCATATTAATATTAACTGTGAACAGCCTCTGAGTTCCTGTGAAGATAAGCATCCCTATAACATAATGCTGATACCCTCATGTTTTGTTTTTTAAACAAAAAGAAATGTATATATATATATATATATATATATATATATATATATATATATATATATATATATTCTAAAGATAAAAACAACATTTAATTGTTTGTAGGTCAAGACTACATACTTATAATTTGATTCGTTTGTGATTGGTTGTACTGAATTGTATGGCCCTTCCCAGTCAAAAGGCAGCGGAATGGCAGCAAAATCCCCTCCAACTTCAAACCACTGGCCTTCTCCTGGCCGTGCATATTTTTTTAACCTGACTCCACCCTTTCACTGAATTACAAGGTCTGACCAGGAGATTATGCTTTTCTTTAGATCTTAATGTCCAAAAATCATGACGGAATGAATTTTTAGATGGCTACTACTGTATCTTTTAACTCTTCATTAGTATGTTATTCTTATACATTTTTTCTAAGGTCCACATTTGTGTAACCATTGTTTTCTATAATCTCTTTGTTGCTGTAAACACCATAATTTCCCCATTGTGGGACAATAAAGGGATTTTCTATTCTATTCTATTAGTACAAGAGGATAAAAACTGTTGAACACCATGTTTTCCTACAATTCCTACAAAATGTGTCGTAACATTGTTACTTCCATTAATAGATAAAATACAGATAAATTTGTTGTGGTTTTGTGAATTAATGTAAAAATCTGAAAACGTCATGATAATTGCTCCTACTACACTTATACACATTTAAGTTTAAATTATAACATGATATGTTTCTGCAGCCCAATCTTTGGACTACAGGGCTCTCCAGCAATTCAGAAATATGATCCTGTGCATGATGCCCGATAGCTGGCCTGTTTTTGACTACGCAGACTATGGCTGCTACTGTGGCTATGGGGGATCTGGCACACCTGTAGATGATCTGGATAGGTAATTATTTAAGCCTCTTTTAGTAGCAATTGATAGAAAAACAAACAAACTGAAGTTTGAATTAAAACATTTCTTCACCTTTTGTATTACCATGAAGGTGTTGCCAGGTTCATGACCAGTGTTACAGTGATGCTATGCAACATCCTGAGTGCTGGCCCATCCTGGACAACCCTTACACGGAGCTCTATGACTACACCTGTGATGAAAGTAATAGAAAGATCACCTGTACAAGTAAGTTTGATTGATGTTTTAATTACTGACAATCTAGTTGAACAGTTCAGTCCATCCTCTCAGAGGAGGGCAGGATCCCTGCCAAACGAGCTGCGGCGCAGAGCCGCCCAGTGTTACTCTGATTCAGCAATCTTAGTAAGCAGGCAGGAATGTGATCCAGGTCAGGGAAGACAGATCAGACAGGACAGTTGAGGAATCCAGGAGTCCGCAGGCCAGTCAGGGGATCTGATCCTTACAGGAACAGAACAGATCCAGGGTTCCAGGAATCCACAGAGCGTGAAGGCAGGTTCAGAGTTCGATGAGTCCAGCAGCAAGCTCAGACAGAAACGCACAGATGCAGACAGGCAGGCTCAGCAGTTTAGGGAAAGAGACAAGACATGGTACCGGGATTACTGTGAAACTTAAAACTGGTCTCTACCTAGGAGCCAAAACCTCTCAAACCAATGGCCTCCGGGGACAGGAACATGAACCAAGGAATAAACTCAAACTAACAAAACAAACACACTACAAACCTCAAAGAATGACCTGGCCACGATAGCTGGCCTGAGCCAAATATAAAGGAACGCGCAGTGGTTAGTGCGCACGACCCATGTGCGGAGGCGTTAGTCCTTGACGCGGCTGACCTGGGTACAAATCCAGCCTGTGGTCCTTTGCCGCATGTCTCTCCCCCTCTCATACCCCCTTTCCTGTCAGCTAACTGTCAGAAAAACAAGCCACTAGTGCCATAAAAACA